TTGAAGAAGGCTGTGGGATTGGACAGATGGGACTACACAGGAAGATCTCAGGGTGAGTGTACTTGGCTTGTGGGATAGGATTCATCTCTTTGGTTTTCACTGCAGCGATGAAAACAGGATAGAGCCTGGAACTGGTAGAATCATCTCCACATTCTTTGAAAACCTGATGACCTCCAGTCCCTGTCTGGTTATACCCAACACAGGGATGAACAAGACCCAGGCCCTGCTTGCCAGCTGTTCCTACCTCAAGGGACAATTGGAGGTTGCATGGAGGGTTTAACAGAGTTTTAGGGATGCACACAGCAGCCAAGGGGGTGAGAAGGATGCACAAGGCAGTGGCCAGATTACACCAGGAAGGCCAGTGGCTCTCTTACTAACGTAGAAGAAATCACTTGGCTAACTACTAAGGGCTCACATAATGGGAAGGAGGCTAGGGACCAGGTTTTGAATACTGGGTCCCCAAGAGCTTCTGATGGGCCAGGCTTCCAAACCCAGAGCAGAGGCCAAGAACAGAAGTAAACTGGCAAGCATGCTGCCATTGTTGCTGCCTGGATCCAGGCCTCCAAGCATGTTCATCCTGGCATCTCCTGTTCATATTCAGAGACCTAGGCAAGGCATTTAAAAATGTACATACTAAGCCACATGCCCATCCCCTAACTGTGCCTTGAGTGATGACAGGCCCCTTTCCACCAAATTTGCAAATAGGAATTTTCCCTAAATCCCTGAGGCAACTAAAAGAAGGACTCTTGCATTCTAGGTTCTGTGAAATAAATGATAGTTGTCACAATCAAAATAAGTCACTCGTGTTAACCTTAACAAAAAATAAATAAATACAGGACGTTATGAAGTAAAAGTCCTTATGTGTGACCGCCTGATTCTAACTATCACAAAAGACTTCACCAGAACCACAAGGTTGTATAGAGACCACTTGCAACCTTACACAACATGTACTCTGCAGGGACATTTGCCCAGCAACTGTCTGTTCAACTTCAGACTAACATTACCCCAGGTGTTAATTGTTGTGACTAAAGATTATTGTTTCAAAATAGCTAATGTAATCCCTCATTGTTTGTCCTTGCCTTAACTTCCTTGAATGTACCCAGTTTACTATGGTATGCACGTTCCCATTGCAGTGTTCTGCTAGTCCCAAATAAATATGGTTCCTTGGAAAATCTCACTTTGTTGTTTTTAGATTGACAGTTGCCAACCAATTGTTAAGATGCTGACACTGCAATTGTAAAGACTGATGGGCCTAGGGCACTATTCCAAGATTGGCCGTATGATGAAAATGGGATGGAAGAAAGGGGTAACAATTATGTGGGCTATCTGTGGTGTCATTAAGGTACAGAAAGGCTAGGGGCCAGGGCCCAGAAAGAGATAAGGACAAAAGCAGGAGTGTGGTACCTGTCTCTAAGTGAGATCTATTAAAGAAGACAGGATTAGAGGGCCTTCGGTGGCTCCAAGGATGTCTAAAACCTGTACCTCTAGAGGCAGTATTCCTAGGATCCACTAGTGCTAGCCACCAGGTAGGAGCTGCAGTACAGATGTCTGCTCTTTTGAGTAGTGGGTACTCTTTTCTGAAGGAGTCATTAGAAAGCCCCTGTAGCATGAGGGTCATTAGCAATCACATTTCACTGCAGCTGATGGAAACCCAAAGGGAATTAGCTAAAAGATGGCATTTCACAAGTGTCTTGGAAGGGCCAGAAAACCAGTCTTTGAGGCTTTGAAGACAGGAAAAAGGGTCAAAATCAAATTGCAGTGCTGAACTGGCAAAGGTACCCCATGGCTCCCATTCATACCTGGACACAAACACTGTAGCTTGCATCCACCAATGCAGGAAGCAGATGCTACTGCAAGAACCACCAGTGCCACTGCTCTGCAGGAAACAGGTGGCATTGCTACCACCCAATCAGAATCTATGGTGCTCATGCTTCTTCCCATCTGGGGCTTTGGATTCAGATGGCATGGGTACATCTGATTGGTGGGACCCAAGTCATATGCTCATGTCCTAGCTGCAAAAGGAAGCTGAGAGCACCCAGAACTAACAATTTCCACTCCTCTCATAATGCAGCAACTTTCCAGGACAGAAAGAATGAACAGTGTCCCCTGTGCCCACATAAATGGTCTAATTGCATTGCACTGCTTTTAGTATGGAATTTGACTCTTTCCCATCCCCACAGAGTTCTAAAATGGTCTCATCTTTTGCATTCCATTACTCCACAGTTTTCAGCATAATGCCATACTCTGATCCTTCTGAGGGCAAGAGTATGGGCTATGCCCTTGGTTTTGTTAAAAAAAAAAATAATTAAGTGGAAGTCATTTGGCTGAGACAGCTCTAGTGTCTCAGATTCCTATGTAAGCAAACTGAAGTCCAATGTAAACAGTAAAAATGTAAGCTTAACAAATCAAAAGACACCTTTCACCTCCAACTGGGGATTTCCCACCCAATTGGACTCCAGTAAGAAAAGTACTAAGCTGTAGCTTATCAAGTAATTTGTTTCCACACTGAACATATAAAAGCTCACTACTCATGCTGATAAAAGTTGAACTCTCCGAATCTCTCCTAGCTGTACTATTCATGAACCTTTAATCACCAAAAAAATGTTAGATTTATTTTGTATAAAAAGTTTCTCTTTGGGGGCTGGGGCTGGGGCTGTGGCTCAGTGGTGGCAGCGCACTTGCCTGGCAGGTGTGAGGCACTGGGTTGGATTCTCAGCAATGTAAATAAATAAATAAATGTCTATCAACAACTAAAACATTTTTTAAAAAGTTTCTCTTTTGGGCTGAGGTTGTGGCTTAGAGGTATAGCGCTTGCCTAGCACGTGTGAGGTCCTGGATTCGATCCTCAGCACCACATAAAAATAAATAAAGTATTGTGTACAACTAAAACATTATTTTAAAAATAATATTTTTTTAAAGTTTCTCTTTTAACAACATGCTACTTTCTGCCTGCACATACATTACTCAGTCTCAGGATATCACCCCTTCAGAGAGTATCCTCCAATTCCTGTAAACCCCTCCTTTGCTATGTATCTCACTGGCCTTGCCTGCGTTTATCCTCAAGATAAAGTCTTGGCTTGCGAGTGGAAATTATCTGGAAATGTTTTGCCCATTCTCTCAGAAGCTCCACAGATATCTAGAAGTTTGTACTTGCTCATTAAATTATTACAGGGTGAGATTTTGAAGTTTTAGAATATCTCAAATTAAAACATATTGAGGCTTTTAGAAAAACCCAGTCACTCTAATGCTGGCTTTCTCACCAGAGGTGCTATTGCACTTCTGGGTACAATTGTTCTTTACTGCATAACCCTACCACAAGAATCACTCATATTTAGTAGTCCGGAACCCCACACATATGATAGAGTGGTCTTCCCCCAATCAAGGAGAAAACCAGCATCTCCTTCAAGCATTTTCAAAAGTCCCAGGGTAAAAACCAGCCCAATCAAGGAACAATTAAACTTCAAAATTTTGTAATTCACCTATAAAAATTTTTAAAGTCATCAACTCCTAACCTGCTTATTGAAGTGCATACTCTCTCACTGTGGATGTCTTCTATGGATACTTAGCAAAGAGATCTTTTTCTGCCCCTCCACTCCCACCCAAACTCCAGCCATCCCTTTTATCAACTGCCCATAGCAGAGTCAAGACTCAGAACATTTAATGAAATTTATTGAAGAGAAACATTCATTGAGCCCATCAATGAGAAGAGGATGACAACATGGAAAGGGACTCTTCACAGCTTGTAAAGACCACAGGTACTGGGACGCAGGGACACCTCATCCTGGACTTCTAATGAGGTTTCTCATCTGCTCCCCATACTGGGGCCCTCCTACCACATTTTCCCTTACTAGGGCCCCCAGATCTTCCTCTTGCCAGGATGGTGACCTCTGGCAATATACATTAATTTCAGGGAATTCCCTCTGAGACTGACTCACTGTGGGGTGGCCCTTGCCCTATAATTGGCACAGAGACACTAAAAAGCACATCAGGAAATGCCTCACCAAGCTGAGGAAACTGAGTTACAAATAACAACAGAGGTGGAACATCAAAGCACAGGCTCCAGCTCTCCACATCCATCCCCAGTCCAGTTCTTTCTGCAAAAGGTAAGATTGCAGTCGCAGATGCAGTCACAGTTGTAGTCGCAGTCATGGGCACAGCATCAATCACGCCATCACCATCCATCCTTTCTGCTGTCTCCTGGGACTGGTGGGCTCAGGATCTCCTGGAAGAAGCTGCTCAGATAAAAACATACAATACTCCACAAGAACAAGTGGCAGAAAGCTGGCCTATATCTACACCAAGAAAGCGGAGGTTAAGTCAGGACACTGGACAGGAGCAAGCAGAGCCTTGGCTCACATGGAAGCTCACAACATGTGCCCAGACCTAGGGGTGGCTGGCTGTGAGGGCAAGGACCTCCACACAGAGATGACACACACCTCATGGCTTTGAACAAGAATTATGGCTAGTGTGAGGTGGGCATTTGCTTGAGGTGGATCTCCACTGAGCTTACAAATAAGGGTGAATTTCCAGGAACAGGTAGCGTCCTGTTCTGGAATTGGTGAATTGGGAGGGGAGGATAGAATCCCCCTGATGGGAGAGCCAGGCAGCTGGCACCCTTGAGATGGCTTCCTCCCCACACCCCCGGCAATGTCTCTCAGTCAGATATCTTCAGGTACCCTCATCTAGGCCAGAGCTAGCAGCTCAGGGGTGCTTCCAGGCCTACTGCCCTAGATTGGTGGAGTTTGAGGCTGGGGAGGCCATGGGGAGGAGTGACTCCTCCTGCCAAATCTGGTTGAAAATGCGGTCATCTGGGCCATTTGGAAGAGCTGGTGGTGGTGATGAGAGCTCCTTGGAGAGTTGAAAGGCCTGTTTTGGGTGGAATGAGCCCTTCCCTGAACTCTGCTCCAAATATGGGATAGGGTGACAGCCCTGGCCTGGCCTACCCCTGTCTCCAGGGATGTGTTGCCTGAGAGGAGAGAAGGCCCCTGGGACTTCTGAGCCTATTTGCCCAAGGAGGGCTTGGGGTGGCTCGTCTCCCCAGCCCCATCCTTGTTTCCCAACTCTTCCAGGATGTCCTTAAGCCCTTCCAGCAGGGGCTCCTCAGCCTCCTGATTTTCCCCCTGGAGGAGGCTCTCTGGCCCCAAACCAGGCCCTCCTGGGCCAGCATCAGAAGCACTGCCCATCTGGGCTGGGGTGAGGCCACTAAAGGCCTCCAATGATCTTGCCTGGCCCAGGCCTGCAGGGGAAAAAGCATCTTCATTTTCCTGAGTGGCAGGGGAGGTATTGGCCTCTTTAATGGTAGGTGCTGCCTTCATGACATCATCTACATTGGAAGTAGCTTCAACAGTATGCTCAGGGCTAGGAGCAACCTTGTCGGCTGGGTAGGCTTCATCAGTGTTTTCAATGGCAGGGGCAGCCTTGCTGGCATCTTCGTTGGATGGTTCTGCCTTGGTTTTCTCTACAATGATGGAGATACATTTCATGGTGACCTCATTGGGAAGGGTGGCCTCACTGGCATTTTCACTGGATAGAGTGGCCTCAGCATTATCTTTGTTGTCAGGTGCAGCCTGGGCAGCAGCTAGATCTCTTTGGTAAACTTCAGCACCCTCTTCACCTTCCACCTGCTCATTCCTAGGTAGGGCAGCCTCCCATGCCTCAGTCTCCCTAATGAGCCGGAGAAGCCCCAGGAAGCCGGGTGGCCTCCTCTCCAGACGCATCCTCCTCAGGTTGTTCTGGAGCATCTGGTTTGGTCGGGCCCTCATCAGCACCTGCCGGGCTCGCAGCTGGTCAGCAATAGCCGGATGGATGGCCCCCTTCTCCAAGGCTACCTGCAGCAGGCCTTCCAGGCGCATCACGTAGGCAAAGAGAGTCTCCTGAGGCCGCTGAGAGCAAGTCAGGAACTTCAGGCGTGCAGTCATCCGGGTGTCCTTGTTCCCAAACACCTGCACCAGCGCGGCCAGGCAGTCCTGTGCAGGAGTGTCTGGGTGTTCTTCCAGGAGCCCGCACATGAGATCCAGGGCGGGCCCACCCAAGCTCTCCACCAGCCTCCTCCTCCTCTCCCTCTCGGATATGTGGCGCCACAGGTACAGCATGTCGTTGGCATGATCCAGCCAGCTCTCGAAGGAGTCTTCCCCACAGGCTGGCTCTTCAATCCCAGAAAAGCTTCTCAGCTCCTCATAGGCCATGTTTTCCAGGACAGGCTGCAGGGCCTGGCTCCACTGCTGGGTCCGGGCTCCCRCGTCATCTGTCCCTCCTGCCACATCCAAGACTCGTTCCTCACCTGCAGCTCCTGCCTCGCCTGCAGCTCCTGCCTCACCTGCAGCTCCTGCTATACCTACAGCTCCTATCACACCTGCAACTCCCATATCACCTGCAGCTCCCTCCTCATCGGACTCTCTTGCTTCATCTGCAGCTCCTATTTCACCTGCTTCCTCTGCTTCACCTGCAGCTCTTCTCTCACCTGCAGCTCCTCCCTCACCTGCAGCTCCTGCCTCACCTGCAGCTCCTCCATCACCTGCAGCTCCTCCCTCACCTACAGCTCCTGCCATACCCACAGCTCCTATAATTCCTGCAACTCCCATGTCCCCTGCAGCTCCCTCTTCATCTGACACTCTTGCCTCATGCGCAGCTCTTACTTCACCTGCTGCTTCTGCCTCAGCTGCTGCCCCAGGTGCAGCTGCTGCCCCAGGTGCAGCTGCTGCCTCACCTGCATCTCCTGCCTCACCTGCAACTCCTCCGTCACCTGCAGCTCCTGCCTCACCTGCATCTCCTACCAGACCCAAAGCTCCTAGAACACCTGCAACTCCCATGTCACCGGCAGCTCCCTCCTCATCTGATGCTCTTGCCTCATCTGCAACTCCTATTTCACGTACTTCTGCCTCAACTACAGCTCCTCCCTCACTTGCAGCAACTCTGTTACCTGAAGCTCCTACCTCACCTGCAGCTGCTGCCATGTCCATAGGTTGTATAATACCTGCAACTCCCACATTACCTTCAACTCCCTCCTCATCTGACACACTTGCTTCATACACAACTCCTATTTCACCTGCTTCTTCCGACTCATCTGCAGCTCCTCTGTCACCTTCAACTCCTTCATTTGCAGCTCCTCCCTCACCTGCATCTCTTGCCTCACCTACAGCTCCTCCCTCATTCACAGCTCCTATTTCACCTGATGCTCTTTCCTCACCTGAAGCTCTTCCCTCATCTGCAGCCACTGCCTCATTATCAGTTCCTCCCTCACCTGCAGTTTCTCCCTCACCTACAGCTCCTTCCTCATCTGCAACTGCTGCCTCATCTGTAGGTCCTCCCTCACCTGCAGTTTCTCCCTCATCTACAGCTCTTTCCTCACCTGTAGGTCCTCCCTCACCTGTATCTCCTGCCTCACCTTCAGCTTCTGTCGCACATGCAGCTCCTCTCTCACCTGTAACTCTTGCCTCACATGCAGCTCCTCCCTCACATGCAGCTCCTCCCTCACCAGTAGCTTCTGCCTCATAAGCAGCTCCTACCACTGCTCTCCCCTGAGGCTGTGCAGAGAAATTGGGAGTATCCTGGAAGTCAGCATCAGGAGCCTGGGGCAGGAAGATCACAGTCCATGGGCCCCCACTACCTGGTATTTGTTGGGGGATCAAATTTCGATTTAAATATTCAGCGAACTCAACTAAAGCTACCCTGGCCCCGAGCTCCTTTCGAAAGGTCTTACAGAGCACTCGGTACCTGCCCAGGGGCCATAGGGCAGCCTGCACTGCTTCCTGGAATTCATCTTCCTTGCAGTCTTCAGGGATGCCCAGGATGAGCAATGAGCGCTGGGCATTGACACCCATCCACCTGCACCAGTCTCGCAGCATTGCCATTGCCATATCAGTATTCTTGGGGGAAGGAAGCATGGTTGAACAGGGATGTGTGCTGAGTGTTGCAGTCTCTGAGCACCCTGTGTGTGCAAAGGAGAGAAAGGATTATTGTTGCTAGACAGCCCAACCCCTCAAATAGCTGCCCCTTGAGCATGGGGCCAGGGGCTCTTCCTCTCCCTTACTTTGATTTTAAGGAAAATTTTTAATAAATTTATGTATAAGAAGACAGGTTTATGCCTGTAATCCCAACAAGTTGGGAGGGTAAGTCAGGAGTATCACAAGTTGGAGGCCAACCTCAACAACTCAGTGAGACTCTGTTTCAAAATAAAATAAAATGGTCTAGGGTATAGCTCAGTGGTAGAGTGACCTTGAGTTAAATACTGTCCAAAATAAAATGAAAAGGGTGGGGGATGTAGTTCAGGAGTACAATGTCCCTGAGTTAAATCCTGTCTGAAAATAAAAAGGGCTGGGAATATAGCTCAGTGATAGAGTACCTCTGAGTTTGATTCCCAGTATTACAGAACAAAAATCTGTTTATAAGCTATAGAGTCAGTAGTTTCTAGTTTATGTGGTAGCAGTTTTGGTAAAGTACTTTTCCCCCAAGGAATTCCCAAGTTTTATGTTTTCTACATTTTTTGTACAAATTTGTGCTTTTCTATTATCTTTTAAATGTCTGTACAACCTGTAATAACATCTTCTTTCATTCCTAATATTGGTGATTAGTGTCTTTTTCTCTTGTCTTGATTAGTGTTGTGTTTATCAATTTTATTACCCTTTTTAAAAAAGTATGTGTGTTTGTTAGTTGTATATATGGTTTATTTTCTGTGAATAAATTCCTGCTTTATGTGTTATTTCTCCATTTGACTGGTTTTATATTTGGTGGTTTCTTTTTCTAGCTTCTTTAAATAAACCAGTGGACCATTGCCATTATACCTTGCTTTTTTCCCAATTACAAGCATTTAAAGCAATAAATGTTCCTGTGATCCCTTCTTTAGCTGTCTCCCACTAATATTTTTCCTTCTTTTTTTAATTGTTAATTTTTAAAAAAATAAATGACAGCAGAATGTATTATAATTCTTATCACACATATACAGCACAATTTTTCATATCTCTAGTTGTATACAAATTCATGTGTTCATACATGTACTTTGGATAATGATGTCTATCACTTTCTACCATCCTTGCTAAACCCCCCGCACACAGACTTATGTTTTTAAGTTGTAATTTCTTTATCATTGAGTTTGAAATATCTTCTTAGTTCTTTTTTGATTTCTTCTTTGGTTCATGGATTTACAAATATTTAGACATGTTATCATTATTAACTTCAAATAGAATTACACTGAGAAATTATTTAATAAGAGTGCAATCTTTTTTTTTTTAGTTGTAGATGGACACAATGTCTTTATTTTATTTATTTATTTTTATGCAGTGCTGAGGATGGAACCCAGTGCTTCCCATGTGCTAGGCAAGTGGTCTGACACTGTTCCACAACCCCAGCCCCCCAGTCTTTTAATATCTATGATTTTTTTTCTGAAAGAGGTTCTTGCTACATTGCCCAGGGTGGTCTCAAACTTGTGGGCTGAAGTGATCATCTTGCCTCTGCCTCCCCAGTATCTGGGATTACAGATGAACAGCACTCACACCAGGTTTATAAAAAGTCTTTTTTTTCTTTATGTGCAGTATGTATTCTACATAAGTAAAGGTAAAAGTAGAATGTGCCCTTGTAATCAATGTGCATTTTTCACAAGACACCAAGCCCCCATCCCATGCAAACACTACATCCCATGTTGCGTAGGCCACCTGAAGCATCTCAATTCCAACTGTAGGAGCTACAGCTGCTCACCGCGTCTTCTGCTCCTCACTTTGTCTTCACTTAGGCTGGGGCAGCTGAGGGTGTCTTGTCATCACGTATACCACCACCCCCCCCCCCCCCCGCATCCTGCACACCCTCAGGTGGCGACTCTGTCCTCCAGCCCATGTCCCTCCCAGCTTCAAGGAGCGAACTCCTCCTACTGTCCTGTGTAATGCCACACGTGCCCACAGGGCGCTTGTGGCGACTTGTAAACCGAGGAAATAGGGCGCCCCCCTGTGCTGGGTCGGGGCTCCCTCCGTGGTGTTCTCACACCATGCAGCTCTGCCTTGGCCGCCGCCTCGAGCCTGCAGCATTTACTTTCCATGCTCCCTACACCTGCTTGCACTAGCGCAGGCCTTTCGTGGCATAATTAGGGCGCCCCAGGGTTCCCACGAGCCTGTGAGCCCTTTGGTCTTCCCTCCCTGCCATACTCCCGCCAACACCCAACAAGGGCTGTCTCTGGCCACACTACCCCCAAGAAGCTGAGGGGTGCCCTCGATTCCGTGACCGTCAAGCCCCAGACCACCAGCCCTGCGTTCTCGCCCACCACGACCCCATCGCAGCCTATCGCCTCGTTCCCGCCACGTGCTATGCGGCGTCTTCCTGCCCTCCTTCCACAAACGCAGCCACTAGTCAGCCCGCTTGTCCAGGCAGGGCTGGCGAACGCCTCACACACCTCGACATTAGCCTTCCCTCACACGTCCTGCACCCGGTTCCTTGGTCCCCTCCGTATTCCCCACATGGGAGCCGGTAGCTCTCACCTCTGCTCTCCAAACGCGTGGCGAGTTTCCACTCCCCCACTCTTGCCAGGACCCTCCTTCCCACCCTATCCCGACCCCTCCACCGCTGAACCACAGAGGATCCTCATAGCTCAAGCGACTACCCCACCCCCACAATTATGTATCCTCCTCAGCCGCCCCACACCGGTCCCTTCCGCGACACCAGACCTGCCTCACAGGTCCCACAACCAGGAGCCCTCCCCTGCAGCAACCCCACGGACAGCCAAGGACCTTCCTCACGCCATTCCTCCAAAATACACAGGGAACCCCTCCCGCATGCCTCCCCAATCTCGACAGCCACAATCCCCTCCCAGTTATGAGGTGCCACGGAGCGCATGGCCCTGGCACTTCATAACCAGCTATCTCCCACTCCCCAAAACTCGAGGAACTACCCTACCTGTCCGTGGACTTTCTCTGACTCTGGACAACTCTGGAATCGCACTCAGAAGAATCTGAAGAAATCCCCTCAGGATCTCCTGAGCCCTTTATGCTCAGGCCTTCTGAGCTCCCAGAAGGCCTTACTTCTCCCAGAAGCCCCTGCAAACTGTGCAGAAAGTTCCAGCACTTTTAAGCGGGAACAACCAAAAGGAAGCTCCAGTAAACCACACCCGAATGGTAACGGTTCACCCCAGGCAACAGGGGTTGGAACTTCCACAAGCAGTAGACACGCCCATCAGCTCTCAGCCAATAAGATGGCTTACCCAGAAGGCAGTGGGGTTGACGGAATAAAAAAATTCCTTTATGCTATAAATTATTCATTTTAATGCTTTTATTAGTGCATTATAGTTAATGTGCATAACAAAATTTGTTCCATTTCAGCCCCCTCCCACCTCACCTTCTTCTCTTTTCCTTTACTAGTATTCCTTTATTGATTTTTAATCAGTGATTCATAAATATACATGATGGTGGAATTTGTTGTGATGTATTCTTTCACATAATAAACATCATTTGCTCAGTTTCATATTGCAGTTCCTCCTCTTTCCATCCATACTCTTTCAAGTTTTACTTCATATATATATATTTTTTTAGAGAGAGTGAGAGAGAGAGAGAGAGAGAATTTTTAATATTTATTTTTTAGTTCTGGGCGGACACAACATCTTTGTTGGTATGTGGTGCTGAGGATCGAACCGGGCAGCACGCATGCCAGGCGAGCGAGCTACCGCTGAGCCACATCTCCAGCCCTTCATATATTTTCAAGCTCTATTATTCAGTAGAAGCACATTTCAAATTTTATGTACTTCTGATCAATTAGCACTTATGTCATTATTACATTTGAATTCAGGTAATAGTTTTTGTCCCTATTTCTCTGCTACTAGTAAAGAAAACTTGCCCTTTGCATGGTGTATCACATTTCCTGTCTCACCAAGTAAGTCTTTATATTTAAATGAAATCTATTGTAGATACCAAAACTCTTACTTTTTCATCCACTCTGAAAATCCCTTCCTTTCTATTGCAGTATTTAGCCCATTAATATTTGCTACATTTGAATTTAAGTCCATCCTTATACTGTCTGTCCCATATGCTCTTCTTTCTATGTTCACTATTTCATGCCTGGATTTAAAAAATAAAAATAAAAACACTTTTACAATTCCATTTCAATTTGTCTTTGCCTTTTAAACAAGACTACTTTGCATTATTTTTTTAGTAATTTCCCCAGATATAAAATATATATCCTTTATTTTTTATTATCTAATTATAATTCATATTTTTCCACTTAACATAAATGTAAAAACCTACCTACCATATACATTCATTCCCATTTCACTCCATCTTTTATACTAGGGTTGCCATATGTAGAATACCTACCTATGATTCAAACCCTCAAAACATCCTAATATTACTTTAAACTGTCAGCAATAGAATCTTTTTCTTCAGATTAAAAGGCTTTCTTTAATATTTCTCTTCATGTACACTATTCATGACTTCTTTTAGCTTTCATGTATCTCAAAATGTCCTTATTTTATCTTCTTTCCTAAAAGATAATTTCCCTGGCTGTAGATACAGATTTGAAGGTTGAAGGGTTTTTCCCCTCTTTCAGCACTTTAAAAAATGTCATTACAGCACTGGTGTTATAGCTCAGTGGCACAGCATTTGCCTCACATGCATGAGGCACTGGGTTAAATTCTCAGCAACACATAAAAGTAAATAAATAAATAAATACATACATAAATAATATTGTGTCCATCTACAACTAAAAATATATATTTTAAAAAAAAGTCATTCCATTATCTCCTGGCTTCCATTGTTCCAGACAAGAACTCAGTAGATCTTCTTGTTAATGAACAATAAGTGATGCTTCATTTTATTCCAACTACTTTCAAGATTTCCTCTTCATCCTTTGCTTTCAGTACTTTTTTAAAAAAAAATATTTTTGTAGT